GACTCCCAAGTGCTGGGACCAAAGGTGTGTGCCACCACACCCAACAACTATCAACCTTAGGGTTTTTTAATTAATTATTTCTTTTTTTTTTTTTTTTTTTTTTTTTTTTTGGCTTATTTTCAAGACAAGTTTCTCTATGTTAACAGCTCTCACTGTCCTGGAACTTACTTTGTAGACCAGGCTGGCCTCAACCTCACAGAAATCTGCCTCAAAGGCATGTGCCACCACCACCCAGCAACCATAAAATTCTTAAAGGAATCTGAACTCTCTGCCCCAAGGACAGGAATACCTGTTTTCCATACTCATCTCCAGGACTCACCTTGGTCATGCCTAGATCAACCTGACAAAGGCATTTTAGGAAAGAGCATCCATTGCAAAGCAAGGTGCTGCCCACAGCCTCCTCTAGTTCAGCAGGCAGCTGAGGGAGACCCTTAGGTACTTGAATTCGGCTGCTTTCATTGACTCATGGAGGAAGGGAGGCCAAAGAATAAAAACTTGAAGTAATCTCAAAAGCCTATCCCTAGCGTTTGGATGTGCTCACTTACTCTCTAAGCACTTATAAGTACCTGTTTGCCAGGCACTGGACCAGGTACTCCAACAAAACCAAGTTGGGAAAGGTATGTCCGGGTTGGGCCCCAGATCATTCAGTCTTGGCTCAGATTTCTGACTGCCGACTTGACACTAATTGCTTAGGTCTCAGAGTGCCCTCTGCTGCCCAGAGCTGAGAATACAGTTGCCTGGAAATAGGACTTCCCAAGATGTGTTAGGGGACATTAAGATGCCTGGAAGCAGAAGATTGCCCCTTTAAAAGGCACCTGGGCCCCCTTTCTGGGGCCAGAATTATGTGTCTCAGGAATGGCAAATATAAGCCTGCACTAGCATGATGGCTCCTCAGGTAAAGACACTCGCTGCTAATGCTAATGACCTGAGTTTGACCCTAGGACCCACAGGGTAGGAAAGAACAGATACCCAGACACCCACAAGTTACCTTCTGACTGCCACACACTCACCATAGCACATAGACACCCACCTCACACATACAAAATACATACTAAACAAGTACTTCTCTAAAGTTTTTTTTGTTTTGGTTTTTAGACAGGATGCAGTCCTGACTGTCCTGAAACTAGGTAGAACAGGCTAGCCTCAGACCCCCTAGATCCTCCTGCCTCCCTTGAGTACTGGGATTAAAATAAGGTATCAACACAACCCACCTCTAAGGATTTATTTTTAAATTATGTGTTTATGGGAGGCATGGGTATGAGAAGGCAAGTGTCTGCATACTCCAGAAGAGAGCATCCGATTCCTGGAGCTATAGTTAGAGACAATTGTGAACCTTCTGACATGTGTACTGGGAACTGAACTCAGGTCCTCTAGAAGAGCAGCATATTCCTAACCTCCAATCCATCTCTCCAGCTCCTAGTTTTGTTTTAAAGAACAAGCACAAAGCATGGAGCTATAGCTCAGTGGCCCAATACTTGTGTGCAAGGTCCCAGACTCAAGGCCTGGTATTGCCCAGAGGGGATAGAATATTTGCACTTCCTGTTGTGACCCTCCCTTTTAGGCATTGTATGGGATCCAGAACTCCCCGACACCAGGCATCTGAAAGCCTCACAGGTCTGAGGTAACTCCCAACTGCCATGAATGCCTGTGTTCATAGTGAGCCCCTTCTTAGATGCCAACAACAATGTAAAGTGGCACCCAATTAGAAAATAAAGAATAAACAGGAAAGTGCAATGTGACCAGCAGCCCCACTGCAGCTGGCCTCCCTCAAACAAAGATGCCACACCTGGATGCACAGGAATGCTGAGAAGCTACAGTCGCAAAAGACCAGGTACATAGACAAATGCCTGCCACCTGGCCTGTAGCATGCAGCACAAAGGCTAAATACACTAGAGTAAAGCTGAGTGCAGTAGAGCTGGGCAGGGTGGTGCATACCTGTTATCCCAACACTTGGAGGGCTAATGGCAGGGGACTGCCATGAGTCCCTGGCCAACACACATAAGCCATCTTGAAAAAAAATGAACATTTCCCAGCAGCTTCAGCAGAAGGGTGGGGGATGGAGACCAGTCCTGAAACTGGTAAGGTCAGTTGGTACTCAGGGGCTTCCACATCCTGCAGATGCTTCAACAGAAACAATGGGCCCAGGTAGAGACCAGGTTTGACTCTGGTTTAGGTCCACAAGCACAGAATTTCCATGTCATTCTGTGGCTTTGGCAGAGGCTGCAGACCCAGAGTGTGAGAATTCTTCATAGTGAAGCTATACATCCAGGCAGAAGGCCCATGCTGAAACTGGAGGAAGGCTGTAAGAAGAGAACAGGCAGCATCAAGGAACATGGTTTGAAGATCAGCAAAGCTTCATCAAATGAGCAAGCCTTGGACAGCCAGAGCCCCAAGGACTACACATCCTGAGGACCTCATGCTGTTCTTGTGCATGGCTCTGAGTGTTGCCTTCATGGTTCCTCATAATCTAGAGATGTATGGAAAATCTCAGAGGGTTTCTAGCCCCTCACTGGGCAGTGTCACTGGTACTTACAATAGTGATTGACTTTTTCCAATTGTTGCTGCTGGAGCAAATTAATGATGCAACCACCGCCTTTAGAAAGAATTTAGAGCCGGGCAGTGGTGGTGCACACCTTTGATCACAGCACTCGGGAGGCAGAGGCAGACAGATCTCTGTGTGTTCAAGACCAGCGTGGTCTAGAAGACAGCCTCCAAAGCCATAGAAAACCCATCTTAAAAAACCAAAAAAGAAAAAAAGAATTTAGACATGTAAATTGTTAGTAAAGTTAGATTAAGATGTTTCTTGTTAATGGTTTTAAGGTAGAAAATCTTGGGGAACAAATTAAAATTTAAAACAGTAGCAGCCTGGCTACTGCTGGCTGATATACCTTTCTTGCCTTTGGGATCAAAGGCAGTGATTTTTTGTACCTATTTCTGCCCTGAGCTTCCTAATACGATTTAGTAAAACACTTTTGAATGAGTGTGCACCCTGAGGATTTAGAGATGACTGATTGGTTTTCATATAAATGTTCAGAGTTGTAATTCTTCTAAGATTTTTTTATATTACATTGAGATAATTACCTTTTGAGATAAATAATAAAATGATTAATCCTTTCTTTGTAACTGCAAAATGAAGCCTGCCAGTAAAAGAACTGGCTGAGAAAAGCATCGTGCTTTTTTACACTTTGTTGGTCTACAGCAAGTTGCTTGGTCATGAATGTATGTAGGCTTTTCACCTGTAATACATACAATGTTTTATCATGTAGGGGATATAGGAAACCTGATTTTTTTTTTTCTTCTATTCATTGTAATCATTCACTTAAAAAAAAGTTTTACTCCCTCATAGAAAAGTCAACTGAGTGATGGGTTCACGGACTCCGGGGCTGAGCTGCTGAGGGCTGGTCCCTACAAGTCCCACTCTGACTCAGTCCTCCACTAAACACTACAAACACCAATGAGACCTGAATTTAATTTAAAAAAATACAAAAGAAAAAGGGCAACCAAAAAACCTACATCAGATCTTAAGTTTCAGTGAAAAGCCAAGACAAACGGCTCCACAAACCACTAATACTATATAAGGTTCCCAATGAAAACTGGGAAGAGCTAGAGAACTTAAAAGAATGTGCATGTCCAAACAAAGATATGAATATGCTCTCAGAAAACAAACAAACAAAAAAAAAAACATGAAATAAAGCTATCAACCCAAGATATGAAAACACAAATTCAACAAGGACTAAAATTGCTGAAGAAAATCCAAATTGAAACAATGTTGAAAATGGAAATCTCAATAAGCCAAGTAAAAACAGGGATGTTTTCTAGAGCAGCCAGGACTCTGGATTATCTCGCTGTTCATGCTGTCCAGAAAACCAGGCCCCTCTGCTCAGACTTCTAGGGCCAATACCTGTCCTCGTCACAGCTATGCTTCTCCAGGCCCACATCTTGACAACGCCTGTGCCTGCCACCAACCCAGGCAGGAGGCCCCAGGGACACAGGCACCAGATCTGCGGCCACTTTTTGAGGAACTCTTCCATTCTGGACAGTCTCTGGTGTTTACATGGACAAGATAGCAGGGTGTGTTCCCCAGGTGCTTGCCAGGAGCCAGGAGGGTGCTCATTAAGCCATTGCTCAGTAGGCTCCAGCTCTGCTGCCACCTTATAGCAGAGGAACACAGCGCCTCCAGAATACTGAGCAGCCATCACTCTACTGGGTCACATCCCAACTCTAAGGCCACAATTTAATGTTGTCAGGGTCTGCCTCTGCTTTTGAGTGCTGGGTGGCAGAACATGCCACCATGCCTGGCCAGCTGTTAGAATCTGGCCTGCTCTTGCTCTGCACAGCCCTGTAGTTACCTACATTCAACGATGACAATTTGTTTAAGATTTATTGTATATACAGTATTTCTGTCTGCATGTATGTCTGCATGCCAGCAAAGGGTACCAGATCTCATTACAGATGGCTGTGAGCCACCATGTGGTTGCTGGGAATTGAACTCAGGACCTCTGAAAGAACAGTCAGTGCTCTTAACCTCTGAGCCATCTCTCCAGCCCCAAAGTGACAATTTTAAGAGATGGAAAGTCCCAACAGTTCACAGCAATTTCTGTAGGCTACCATAGCAGGATTTTATCAGGATTCATTAAAACTGTCACAACCCAAAATCTCCCAAATGACAGTAGACAGGCTAGTTTCATATTTGTCGTTGATTTTGTTTTGTTTTTTGAGACAGGGTTTCTTTGTATGTAGCTTTGGCTGTCCTAAGAACTAGGTAGCCTCAAACTCAGAGATCCACCAGAACTACACCAAAATGGAGAGAGAATACCAATTCCAAAGTTGTGTTCTGTCCTCTGCAACACTTCATACACAGTAATACAACTAGAAAAAAAACAAAAAAACAAAAACAAAAAAAAAACGTAAAAACCCTCTTTACCTTCACTGTGAGAAACCTAGCCTCTCAATTCAGATAGTTTCACTTAGTGATTATCAAAGAATGAAACACACAGGCATCACGTAAACTGGTCATTTATTAGGATGGACCTTTGGACACAGCGGCTTCCAGCATGCCGAGAGGAGGGAACTGGCAAGCAGCAAGGTCTCACTTCTTCCACTCGTTCTTGTCGTAGTCCCACTTGGCAGAGAAGCCCTGAATGGGGTTGGACTTCATGTCCAGCATCCGCTTGGTCTGCATGGCCACCCAGTCACGATCAAAGGTATGAGGGATGGGGCCGTACACTGTGGTGCAAAATGACTATGTGAGGCAGGGTGTCCTGCTGGGATAACAAAGCCCAAACCAAGCTACCTGCTTTAATCCAGGGCACTGATAATTCTTATCTCAGAACCATTCCTTGCTTGTAGAAGGTCAACAAGGAAGTCATTAGGTATTTAGCTAGGTATCTTCCTTCCAGATATCAGTGGCAGACTCTGCAGGCTGGTCCAGCATACAGCCAGGGGGTGCCACTCAGAGGGCTGGCATCTGCAGCCACACTTACTAGGGGGTGGGCCTGCTCAGAACGAAGCATGAACTGACCCAGAGAGAATACATGTCAGAGAGCAGCCAAGCCCAACAATGTCCAAACAATATGGAAAAGGCCTAACAGCCCAGACTCCAGATGCTCAGATACAGCCAGCCACAAAGCAAAAGGGCCCCTTCTCACTCACAACACTATGTAACCCTCTGTGACTTATTAAACAGATCCAGTGCTATCAAACATGGTGTGCTGTACAAAGCAAACCTATCTTGCCCTGCCACAAGGATGACTGGCCATGCAAAAGGCAAGCTCTAGCTTACACCTATTCCCATGATTACAGTTTCTCTATCCATCCTGGGCCTAGAGGCCATATGAGGCCCTCAAAGCACCAAGAGTTAGAGCCATCCTGGGCCACTCCTCCCTCAGCACTTACCATAGCGCTTCTCCCAAATGAGAATGAGCGCAGTGAAGCCAATGAAGAACATGGCCATACCCACGACTGTCTTCCACTCATTGGTGCTCCTGTTCATCTCAGCAAAGCTCTCGTTAAACTGGATGCGGTACACTGAACAGAAACGTGCAGAGTAAAGAACTTGAAGACAGCCCCCTTCCCAAAATAACCCATCCCAGGGACAGTACAGCTAGGCCTGGACACACAGTGTGCACAGCTTTGCCCTCACACACTAGCACATACAGGAGGAAGAAAATGCAGAGCTGGCTGCATGCAAAGCCCTATGGACATGAGGTCGGCTTGGCTCTCCCGTGCTGCTTTTATACCACACTGTGAATACTTAGCTCATCTTTCAGCAAAGCTGCACCAAGCACATGTACAAGAAGCTATAATCTCCATACCCTGTTCCTCACAAAGAGTAAGCCAGCAGCATCAATAAGGATACCCAGAAACTGAGCAGGGAAATCTGGTCTAGCACAAGCAATCACACACATACACTTACCTATACATGTTACTGAGTTTTCATGCACACCCTGATACTCACATTGGACTTTCTCATCCCTGGACAAGCTGCTCCAATCTGCCTTCTCCTTCTCCTTCAGGGCCTTCTGGCTGGCAGACAGCTGCTTGACATGGGCCACATCAGGCAAGGGGTAGTCACGCCGATCCACATAAATAGGGAGAGCATAGTCTTCACTCTTCACAACACTCCCTAAAACATATTGGATAAATCTGAAAACCCATGTGTGTGGGTAGGAGTCCAGGTAGAAGGATGATAGCAAGTCAAAAGTTAAATGTAAGCACTTGACCTAACCAAATCTGATTACAATCACCACATGTGGGACTAGGGCTGAGGGTTATTTGCTGGACAGGCAATTGGACTAAATGAAGTCCCAACTGCAGGAACTCATATTCAGAACATGAAACTCAAGAAGGGACAAGAAAGGTGGCTGCTGCAGGGCAGAGTGATTGACCACTGTGACTCCCAGAGGCCCACTCAGAAACTGTTGGTCTCATACAAAAGATCAATCACAGAGCCACCTAACTCGTTTGTTTATCAAGGACTTATCAAGTACCTACTGTTCACTAAGGCTAGCTCTATAAACATGGGATTGTCAGGAAACAACTGAACATTCCTACCTACCCCCCACAGGCTCACAATCTGTGAGAAACAAGCAAGACATAACACATGGGGTCACATGCTAGGAATGCACACATGACAGAAAGCAGATCCTAAGTGCCAAGAGGTAGCCCTAGAAACTCCAAGGAAAAAATGATGTGCTCAAAAGAGCCGGGTCAGTTCAGTTCTGCTTTCCCTCCAATGTATACTGAATACTCAAGAACAGGCAAGTCAGCCCACACTGAGCAGTGAGAAGAGCATGAGCTGAGTGGAGGCTCTTGCTGCATCACACAGGCCACGCCAACACAGAGCTCAGTGATGGGAGATGTTATTCTGTATATATTTCTCATACTGATTAATAAAGCACTGTTGGCCAATAGGAAAGGAGATAGGAGGGACTAAGAGACAAGGAGGAAGAGGAAGTAGTAAGGAAGAGTCAGGATGGAAAGCCTGGAGAGAACAGAACTGCCATTCCTCCGCTCTCGGTAAGACCACGTGGAAATACATAGAAATGGGTTAATAATTAAGACAGAGCTAGCCAATAAGAAACTAGCACCTGGCCAATAACATTGTATCAAATACAGAGTCTCAGTGTGTTAATTGGGTCTGGCGCGGGGCGGCGGGTCAAGACCAGGCAGCGGGCAGAAAAACCGAACTCCCTACAGCTCAGGACTCAGGAAACCAAGTCAGACTCCACCCCAGGCTTCCTGCTGCTAAAAACTCCAACTTTGCGGCACCTGTCTGGAAGGACACACCCTTACAGAAATGCTTTGCCCCGTCCCATGTCTAAATTTCCCATCATGTTGATAAACAACACTAAGCCTTGAGCAAGGCTGTGACCCTTCCAGGTGTTTATTTAGTGCACAAATGACCAGTGAAGTCTCTGTTCTTCTGTACAACCTCATCCCAACAGAATCTGAACCAAAACAGCCACAATAACTTTTCCATTTTAACTCTTAGCATCCCATAAAGCTGGGCATGATAGCACATGCCTATAATAATCCAAGCATTTGGCAGGCTGAAGCAGGAAATCTCAAATATGAGACCTGACTCAACTCCATAGGGAAACAATCTCAAAACATAGGAGAAAATGATCAGAAAAAAAGAATAGTGGCTACTGAACATTCTTACTGAGTTCAATACACACCCTACCCAACCCCTATTTCTCCAGGCGTAAAACACTTTGATTACAGGTTATTAAAGCAACTGTAAGTTAGGATGAGAATGTTCTAGAATCAATCAACCATGGTGATGATAGCACATACTAACAACTATCGTAAAAACAATGAGAAGCATACAATTTAAGTGAATCAATGTATTGTGTGAATTACAGCTCAGCTATTAGACTGCCATAAACCCTCATGGTCTCAGAACACACTAGCCATAAAATGGTATATTCTAGACCAAGAGTGGTTAATTTATTTTCTAAGTTCACTTCAGAGCTTTGTGTTTGTCCTTGGAATCAGAGGAAAACTAAGGCCCACAAGCCACACACTCCCCTTTTAAAAGGGACACAGGGTCCAAAGCCTACAGCCTACTTACTTCTAGCTATAGACCAGGTCCCACCATGCCCAAGTGTTCCAACTAAGTGTGACAAGGAGGTACACTTTGCTGAGTGAATGACCTCACCAGGTAAAGACTGGCATCATCCCCACCTGAAGCGTGAGAAATGTGGAAAGACACTGGTCTCTGGGGGCCAAGCATGAAGGCAAGTCCTATTGCAACCATCCTTGCTACTCAACCATCCTTGGGCCTAAAGGCTTTGGGTGAGTGGAGCTGACAGCCTTAATTTCAAGTAGACCCAGGTTGTAAAAAACCTTTCCTTCCTGCATAGGCACATGCCAAGCCTTACCCTTGACATCAGGGGTTCTCAGTAGCCCTTCATGCCCTTAATAAACCTGTATCTTTGGTGGGAAATTAAAAAAATAAGACTTTGCATTCAATAAGGCCACTTCTGTTCTCAACCAAGATGAGTTTTGCTCAACTTATCAGATCTGTTAGGTTACACTATGAATAACTCAACTGACAACAGTGCCCTAGTAGAGTTTCCACAGTACCTAATACTATAACCATATGTGTTATCCATGGAGGACTCATATGACTTATTAGAGAACACAGAGATTGCAGTTCTTCATCTTCTGGCCAGACTACTCAATTAATCTTGTCACTCATGTCTATCCTTGGAGTGGCGCATGTCTTTCCACATGGGTTAATAAAAAGGGTTTTCCTTTTCCAAACACCTTTCAATAACAATGTCTCAGCCTGTGCCCATGATGCCCCTGGGGAATGATGGACACAGGGGACTATAGATACTGCAGGATGGTTTTACTGACACACCTGCATTATAAGGCAGCTGTAGGAAGAATGAATGTTGGTGTTTGGGCCTCTAGATGCACAAACATTGCTCTCTAACTTCTCATCTATAACCCAAGACTCACACTTCTACTGCTAGCCCTGCAGCAGAAAACCCTTCTTCTAGAAGTCTTTTCCAAGTGCCAGCCTGGCTAAACAGTCTGCTTCTAGGACTATCACTGTCTATACTGCCTTCATCTTACCAACCCACTCCATATTGCAAGCTCCCTGAGAAGATCCACCTCTCACATTATCATATTTTTGGTACCTAACACTGGTACAAAGGACACCACGTTTCATAAACACAAAGCTAAAACGGTGCTAAGCAAACTCAGAACTAAAACTGTGTGAGAGATTGTGTGCATGCGCATGTATGCTTCGGGTGAGAAAGCAGATTCTTAGACTTCAGGAGCCATGATTGAAATGAAATCCAAACATAGTGCAGACCCAAGCTCACCACCCATTGCCTCCATTGCTTCTGTGATGGCAACAGGAGGGGGCTTAGTAAACATAGAGTGGGAAAAAAGATGCAAGTCATGTATGGAGACACTCTCTAGAGGAGAATGAACATTACAGGTATGGTAGTACACCTTTAACCCCAGCACTGGGAAGGCAGAGGCAGAAATCCTGTGAATTCAAGGCCAGCCAGAGCTACACAATAAGACAGAAAAAGGAGGGAGGGAGGGGACAAGTAAAGATCCAGACTAATAGGATTCATCCATTCTCAGACAAATGCCTTGCTTAAATTCGCATCTCTCCTGAAAGTCCCTGCAAGGTCAAGCTGCCATGCATCTTTGTTTAAAACGCCACTACAGGATCTTGGCCATAGAAGCAAAATGACATTAAGTTAGCCTATTTGAAAGTAAGTCTTTAACCAAGCATGTGGTAAATGACTTTAACCCTAGCACTCAGGAGTCAGGGGCAGGCAAATCTCTGAGTTTAAGGCCAACCTGGTCTACACAGAGAAATGCTGTCTTGGAGAAAGAGGGGGTTGGAGAAAGGGTGAGAGGGAAGGAGAGGGACAGACAGACAGACAGACAGATAGACAGACAAGAAATTAAAAGTCTCACTTACCATGTGCTCGAACACACACAGAGGTGGAAATGGCTCTCTTGCCAATTAGGCTAAGTGCCCTGGTAGCCAACATTCTGAAAGACAAAAAAAAAAAAAATACATACTTCTAACAATGAGAGAACACCTTTTAGTGTGTCTTTTTTTGCCACGAATCATTCAGGAGGTATATGCAACTCATTCCTCCAATGTTAAATGATTTTTTTGTTGTTATGATTTCATCTGATTTTTGGTTTTGTTTTTCTGACAAGGTTTCTCTGTATTACTTTGGACCCTGTCCTGGAACTCCATCTGTAGACCAGGCTGGCTTCGAACTAACTCACAGAAAGCTGCCTGCCTCTGCCTCCCAAGTGGTGGGTGCACCACCAACGCCTGGCTATTTTTAAGACACGGGCTGGCCTGTAGCTTGCACTCTATCTTCCACTGCCTCCTAAGAGCTGTCATTACAGCCCAGCAGCCTGCACTCAGGATCTGTTTTTATGGCCTTGCATGAAGTAGTGTAAAAGAGGTGGCTTTTCTTAGTATGCATTTACAGAGCATCCTGATATCAAACCAGGGGCTGTAATATACACAGCTTTGGCCAATTAACAGAAAACTCCGCTTCCTAAGGGGAGGGGAGACGACAATTGTTAAGACAAATAGCTAACATGGCTAGAACTCGGCAGAGCACGATGCAACTACGAGCTATTCCTCTTGCTGGCGGTGGCATCACAGCCTGCGACTGGGTTTTACTTAAAAACGACTTGCGCATAGACTACGAAGAGGCAAGCGGAGGAGGAGGCATTTCAGGCAGGCCGTGGCCCTCTTGCCGTCCCTGCGGCCCATGGGCGACCTGGATGACCCTGTCACCCGCCCCAGCGAATCGAGCTCCAAGCCTCACTTCAGCACAATCCCGCGGAGATACGCTCCCCGGGAACGGACTTCCGAGCCCTAGAAAACAACGCCTGGAGCGGCAGAAACCGTAGCGTGACGTCAGGGTTCAGCTCGCTGCGCCTCGGGCCTGTCAGATGCGAGCGCCAGATGCGAGCCAGGCCGGAGACGAACAGCCAGCGGCGACCCAGGACAACAGACCGGTCCGGGGAGCGGGCGCGCCAAGGTCACGGAGCGGCTCAAATCCCGGGCCTGCAGGCGCCTCAATGCCACAGCCCCCGCCCCGGCACTCCAGCTCCTCGGCCCCCCGCCACGCCGCCCTCACCCGCCATCAAAGGCCGACACCCGCTGTCACCTGCCACTGCTGCCCTAGCGACCGCCGCGACCGCCCTCTACACCCCGGCTGCTCGCGACCGGAAGAGTGAGGCCAGCACCGGAAGAGCAAGATGATGCCGCGAAGCACCGCGGGATCAAGGAAGCCCCGCCCGTACTCGTCGTGCCGAGGTCGTAGCGCCGCAACTGTCGCAAAAGGCCGGGTGGGTCACGCTGCTTTCCGGCAGGCACTAGCGACTACGCTTTCCGGCGGGTGGGTCGGAGCCGGAGGTTGATAGTGGAGGCTTAAGTTTGTCTCAAAGTGCAGTGGGGTCGTGTCTTATACAGTGGGAGCCTCCGTTGCTACGTGACCAGCCAGACTCAGCATGCCCGGCGTGAAGCTGACCACCCAGGCCTACTGCAAGATGGTGCTACACGGCGCCAAGTACCCGCACTGCGCGGTCAACGGGCTTCTGGTGGCCGAGAGGCAGAGGCCGCGCAAGGAGCATCCGCCAGGCGCGGGCAGCCACACTCTCTTCGTGGACTGCATCCCGCTTTTCCATGGCACGCTGGCCCTGGCCCCCATGCTGGAGGTGGCGCTCACCCTAGTAAGCTCGGGGTCACGCGGGATTCTGGGCTGGGTGAAGTCGTTGCCCTTCGTGCGAGAAGCGTCTCCTGGGTAGGCAGCAAGCATAGCGAGCTCTCAAGGTTCTGTAAGATTACCAAGAAACCGAGTGTGGTGTGATATTCTTCAAACCAACACTCGGGACGTGGAGGTAGGTGGATCTCTCTTGAGTTCGAGGTCAACCTGATCTACATAAGGAGCCCTGTGATACTTAACGTTACACTTAAAAGTTTAAACCTATGGTGGAAAGACCAAAAAGAAAAAAAAAATGCCTCTAGCATGTACAGGCTGTACCCTGTCAGCCCACTTGCCTTTTTTTCCCAGACGTTGAAGACTTTAAAATTGACTGATCTTGCGTGGCGTTGGTGGCGTGCGCCTTTAATCACAGCACTCGGAGGCAAAGGCAGGTGGATTTCTGTGAGTTCGAGGACAGCCTGGTCTACAGCGCGAGTTCCAGGACAGCCAGAGCTGTTACACGCACCAAAAATAAATAAATAAATAAATAAAATATTGTAGGATTTGCTGTTCTAGCAAGATTGAGACAGATTTGGTGTGTGTGTATCCCAGGCTAGCCTTGGACTCCCAACACTCTTCCTATTTCAGGATCCTGAGAACTGGGACATGAACTAGCATGCCTTGCCATCTATTATTCATTTTTTGGAACAGGGTTTCGCTTTTGTAGCCTTGGCAGGTCAGGAACACTCTGTGTAGACCAGGCTGGCCTCCAAAATACAAAGATCAGCCTGCCTTAGTCTCCAGAGTGCTGGGATTAAAGGTGTGCACAACCATGCCTGGTTCGTCCATTTCTTAATTTACATTACAACACCAAAGGAAACAAATGACTATTTGCAAATGCCTTTAGGCAAATTGTCTTGAATTTACAGAGCATATTTTGAGTGTCTTAAAGAATTATCGAGTGATTTTTTTTTTTTTTTTTAATTTGGATCCTTTGGGAGGGGGCAGAATTTTAGTTCCTGGAGAAGTGTGCTTTTGATGCCTGAAGCATTGCTGAGGATTAGTGTGTATGTTCTGGACCAGTCTTGTTCTGTTAGCAGAGAAGTTGCAGGTGGCTGAATGTGAACCTGGCAGGGCTCTGCCTTCAATAGTAGGGCAGGTTTCTCAGCTTCTCCGCTGAGTGTGACTTGTGGTGGGTTGAACCCAAGACTCAGGCTTGGATTTGCAATGGCCTAACAAGCTCTATATCAAAGAAACACCAGCTAGTAGAGGGGTTGTGGGGGTGGCTTAGTGGTTAAGAGCACTTCTTGCTCTTGAGAAGAACAGTTCCTAACACTCAGATCAGCCACTCAAAACTGCCTATGACTCCAGATCTGACTCCCTCTTGTGGCCTCTGAGCACATTCATATGCCCGATACCCACACATGAATCTGTAATAAAGAGCTGGCATAGTGGCACTGATCTTTAATCCCAGAACTCTGGAGGCAGAGGCGGGCAGATCTCTGAGTTCAAGGCCAACCTGGTCTACAAAGTGAGTTCCAGAACAACTAGGGCTGTTACACAGAGAAACCCTATCTCAAAAGAAAAAAAGGTAAAATAAGATTTTTTTTTTTTTCATTCAAGCCAGGCCATTGCCCCAGGCTATGTGACCTGCCCTGGTGTCTTCAGGTGCTGGGAAGCTCTGCCTTTCTCAATCTCCAGCTCAAGCCCAGACCTACTTTTCAACTTTGAGCATCAGGAGTTAATTTGACTGTCTCACACTCTTTGTGCACCAATGCTGTGACCACTGTCCTAATGCTATCTTCTGCTGTGCCCCTTAAACAATGTGGACTGTCCTCCCTTCATGTCCTTGCAGCCTCTAGTCTCAGGTGACTCTCATCCTCTCTAGCAGGCTGCAGGTTCCACCTGAAGGCCTGGAATCTCTCAGGACCTTTTCAGATTAGTGTTCTGTCTGTCCCCAGGATGTGGCCCCGTGCCCATGGAGCAGCAAAGTCCCATATGCCCACTGCTCCCCTCTTTCTGCTCCTATTTCCTTATCAACCACTCTCTCTTCCCAAACACTCCACCACCACCAAGTGTTCTCACTACTGTGCCCTAGATACACACACACACACACACACACACACACACACACACAGTGTGTCCACTACTATTCCTCCTTCATACACCCTCTGCCCTGAGTATTCTCTGTTCTCCCCCACTCACCCTTGGACTATCTCACCAGCCCCCATTACAGCCACTAATTAAGTTCCTTACATGTGTGCTGTTTACTTTTCAACCATACAAGTTTACATGCAAAAGGCTATGAGAAGTCTGTGGGTTTGGAACCTACCACTGTCAAAGTGCAGCCTGTGGAAGTTTTAACAGCAGCAGAACCCATGCAGCTATGGTGGTGAAGCCCTATCCTGGTGGCTCCCACTGCTGGGGAGCTCACACTGGAAGGATTGTTGAACATGGGAAAGCTCAGCTAGCCATTTTTTAACATGTGGTCTGCCAAAGGGCAACATGAGATTTCTATTATTATTTTCCATTAAAAAAAAAATCCTTGCATTTCTGGGTGTTTTTCATTTGTTAAAGTACTTACGCCTATTATTTATCCTCAGCCCTTTGACGTAGGCAGTGAAGGAATTACCTCTAATAGCAAAAAAAACCCATAAATGTTGGCAGGAAAATTAGCATGACCCTGTTTCTCTAAGCCCCTTTGTGTTTTTCCCCTGCCTTGATTTCTGCTGCTGCAGGAACTTCTCTGTGTATCTGCTCAGGTGACTCTTCCTCACCATGATGTGATTCTTTCAAGCCAGCCTTCTTCCCGCTGTCTCTGGTCCATGTTCCACAGCTGTTGTCCCACCTGACCTGGGTGTTTTCCTCAGCATATGCCCACACTCCCTGCTCATTAGCCTCCCGAGCTTCTCTTCCAAAGAGAAGTCACAGCTGACCTAAGAAGGAAACTCAGAAACTCAGCCAAGGCCTGCTTCTTTCTAAAACAGGAAGTTTTACCAGGTTACCCTCCACTTGGTGGTCATGCAGGGTCAGGAATGGTACCCTCCTCCAAGAGGCTCTTAGCCTTCCTGTTCTCTTGTTATTTTGGAGTCACCTAAAATAGATGGTGATGCTTAGATAAAACATTAGCAGGCTTGCAGAGAGGGGCCACCTGTGCAGATTCTTAACAGGAACCAAAAAGAGTTGGCCCTGGCCCCTCAGCAGGTCTCCTATGTGACTGGCCCAGAACAGCCTAGAGGACATTGAGCAGAGTGGGCAGGTTCACACGCAGTAACAGCTTTCTCCTTTCCCTGTGAAGGTGAAGACATGCCTGCAGAGGGTATGGTGTCTGTATTAGATGCATTCACCTTTCTATGGCCTGGGCTGGTATTTGCTGGTCCTGTTCTATTCTCACAAGCTACGTGGTAGAGACCTGGGTTTTCAGACAACAACGCCAGGAAAATGGACATGAGCAGAAGTCAGTTTTAGGGTTGTGCTTTGCTGTGGCCCACTTGGGAGGGGGCAGGTTACTTGTCTATGTGCTACCATTCCAAGTCACACATATACACTGCTTTTCATGGGGCCCCCTGGGCTATCTTGGGTCTGAGCCTCTGTATGCCTATCCACTGCTAACCTCTGTCCAATAGCCTATCCCATCCTCTACTACCTCACTCATCTGAAACTTCCCTTGTCCATTGTTTAAATTTTGCTTTATTTAGAGGCTAAAGAGATGGCTCCATAGTTAAGAGCACTTGCTGCTCTTCAGTGGACCCAGTCCAGGTCCCAGCACCTATGTTGGGTGGCTCACAACACTTTGTGACTCCAGGGAATCTGCAGCCTTTGGTCTCAGCAGGTACCTGCATTTCTGTACACACACCTACATACAAATAAATTTACTTCATGTGTATGGGTATTTGCTTGCATGTATGTCTGCACCACATACATGTGTATGGTGCTTGTGGAAACCAGGCTGTCAAAAATCCCCTAAGACTGGAGTTACATACAGTTATGAGCCACCATGTTGGTATTAGAAATTACCCAGGTCCTCTGCGAGAGTAGCTACTGTTCTAACCACTCGGTCATCTCTCCGGCCCCTCTTTCCCTATTCTTAAAACAAATGCCTCTGAGCTCTGGTGGTACATGGATCTATTCATCTGTTAGTGGGTAGGTATCTGTGAGTTGGTGGAGACATGCACAGTGTAAAAAATTGTTGCAGTTCCTAAAGCCAAGGCAGAGCTTTTATGCCCTGGTTTACTTTAAGCCTCCCCACAGAATTCTAGAAGTTCTAGGTCACAGCGTTATTTCTCCCACTGGAATTTGGTTAGGTGCTTGAAATTTTCACATAGACGTTTGTCCTCAGCAAACATAGGTAGGTTGAAGCATGTGTTGCATTTGTCATAGGAATCAGTCTCTTGTCAAGTGCTGTCTGTGCTCAGAGGACACATTCAAGATGGTACCAGGTATGTTTGAGGCAGATGTGAGTACTGGACCTTTTGGCCAAAGAGCCAGATTAGACTGCCCGCTGAAGGCTAATGCTATGTTATTGGGGAGTAAAATATATATTGTACCTCAATAATAAATACAGCATAGCTGTCAGTCAGCTGAATAGACTTTAAAAGATATTCATGAGTAGAGAGATTGTCCTAGATTCTCTGTGTAGGACCAGAGTAAGCATAGGCGTTGTTAAAGTCAGTGGGTATGGGGTGAAAACAGATGCACTCAGGAGGGTATGAGTGTAGGTCCAAGAAGACAGGCTAGCAAAAGGATGCCCAGAGCTCATGGAAAGAACCAGCCTCATCCCTGTTGTAGACTTCCCATTTGTGAGATAATGAATTAACATTGTTCTGTGCCAACATGTTTGAGTACCTTAAACAAGAGCACTAAGTGGAAAACAGGTAGGTCCTGAAACAAGAGGAACCAGCCCTAAGAGCTGAGAGAGCTGGCCAGATGTGGGGTCAGCTGCAGTAAGGACACGCAGGTCAGCTTTGATTAGAAACAGCCAGCAGATCAGTTAGGTTTGAGACCTGTGTCAGCTTCAGTTACAGCTTTAGATCAGCATGTACATACTACTCATTTGTATTACTCCTATATCATATAGTAGGTCAGAAATATCTTGGGACCAAATACAATCACAATTATGAGGTGTCTGGAGTAGCTCACAACTTGTCATCAATATGGACACACTCCATTCTCAGATTAGTGCTGTTAGTCATTCTAAAATACAGGCTTCCTCGACAAAAGAAGTAACCAGTTACTTTGCTAATTCAGTCAAAAATTTTGCAAAAGATAATTCCTTATGGATCTTTGTTAAGTCTAGGGATCATCATAGGAATAATCATTCTTCCCGTCATTTTCAAACATTTAGGATCTTCTATCCATTCAGCCCAGAGAATTTATCTGCTTCAGTTGAAAAGTAATTTTTTTAAAAAGGAGGTGCTGGTGGCTTTGTCAGAGGAGCTGCAGTCAGAGGATAGCAAAACTATTCTGGGTGCATCCTGGAAAGGCAAAGCCCCAGGGTGGGGAGGGGGACAGTCTCCAGAAGGCCCCTTCTGCTCTGCTTCCTTCCATTTGCTGCTGCTGTGTAAAAACACCTTCTGTTTTTGGCATGGTGCAATTATCCTTACTGGATAGTGTACTTGCAGAGCACAATAGAGATGATTTTTAAAAAATAATTTTTATTATTATTTTATGTGGGTGTATGTCTGTGTGAGGATGTCAGCTCTTGAAGTTACTGACAATTGTGAGCTGCCAAGTGGGTGCTGGGATTTGAATCTGGGTTCTCTGGAAGATCACTCAGTGCTCTTAAACCGCAGAGCCATTTCTCTAGCCCCATGAAGATGGTTTTTAAGGGAGCAATGATGATTAGTTAGATCTATGATTTAATTGGCCTTTCTGAGTTAGCCTAAGATACAGGTGGTTAGAACAGTTAGTAGATTAGGGAAATAGTGTAGGTTATTCTGCCAATTGCTTCAATAAAAGATACCAAAAAAGTAAATATAGATAGGCTAAAAGTTACCTTACCTTTGCTAAATGTGAGACTTACAGGAGATGAAAAATATGAACAAGGAAGTTTGGAGCATTATAGACCCATTCATTGTGCCTGTGGAAAAACAGGCTAATGATCAAAGAAAATAATTATGTCCCTACCTCCAGTGTTCAGCCTGAGTTCCTTGGTCATGGAACTTACAGAATTAATCACCGGCCCCAGTATGCACCTTGAAAAAAACAAAAGTTGTGAAAGGAAATTAAATGACCCTATTGTGTATAAAGGAAAATAGATGGCAAACTGACCACTGAATTTAATGTATCTTTAGAGTAGAAAATAGAAATCTATTACAGTGAACTGCAAACAGCTGCCTGCCAGTACAAAAGAAACTGGCTGAAATATGTTTAGCTTGCTTAAAACTTTGTTAATCAGTTATAAAGGAATCATTGCTTTGGGGTGAAGAAAAACGTTTAACTACTTATGGGTTTCTAAGAAAAAGTATGTAACTGTGTTCTTAGTGTGATTTCTTATATAAAGACTTTAATTTTTTTTTTGAAAATACTTGACTTATGAGGAGGTATAAAAGAGATAAGAGGCAAAGGAAAAATTAAAGGGAGATATCAGAAAAGAAGTAAAAGGATAAAAATCAGGAAAACTTAGAAAGGGAAACAACAACTGGGAAGAAAAAGAAAAACAACAGGGTAAAAGAAAAGAACAGAAAGAATAGAAAATGAACAAACAACAGAAAGAAAAATAAAATGAATTAAACTTTGGCTCTCAGAAAAAGTGTGTGTGTGTGTGTGTGTCCGTCCTCCAACACCACACCTCCTTTCCAGTTTCTCTGAGCTTCTGGAAGCTGCTCTTTATAGCAGCACCTCAGCATGTGCTGTGCTTTTTAAAAAATAAGAATGAATCTAGATGCTTCCCTCTCAGATCTACACAGCACTGCCTTTGTTGAGTCCGCTGCTGAACCCAGTACAGCCTGTCTGGGAGGACCCTGCCTCTAGGCCCCGCCCTGGTGCATTTCCCTGACCTCTGTGAGCTCTCATTTCATTGTAGTCAAGGAAAATGCAAGGACTGTTTGGAGTGTGGCTTGTCCCATGTGTGGTGGGGCTGTTACTGAGACCTGATGCTAAGGTCATTTTTCCTATTTGTGTTCCTCTCAGATTGACTCATGGTGCAAAGAGAACAGCTATGTGATCGCCGGCTATTATCAAGCTAATGAGCGTGTGAAGGATGCCAGGTATGGGTTACACATCTATGGGTTGTGGGTTAGAAGCCACAGAGCCATCACTGAGGTACCCTATGCAAGCCTCCATCCTTCGCCCCCTGCTTTATGAGGTGTTCAGGCAACTGGCCAGAAGTATAGCCAGAATTTTATCCATGGCTCCTCTGTTATGCATGAAGGGAATTCATAGAGGAGGAGCAGCTGCCAGGTCTGCCTGTGTCCACCAGCCTGCTGCCTCTCACTCCAAAACAAGAGGCTGTGGAGGGCAAAATAGCTCTCTTGCATAAATAAAGTGGTTTGGAGTTTGGGGCTATTAGGATGGGGCCTATGGTAAAAAAAAAAAAAAAAAAAAAAAAAAAAAAAAAAAAAGTATGGTCTTTGGCACCTGAATTGGTCCACATTTCTGAACCCAAGACACCACCACCTTGTCTCTCTCAAGCAGGATTAGTTCACTGTCTGCTTCAGACTGGGTCCCAAGAGCCTAGCCAAGGACACCTTTAGTCAGGGCAACTTAAGGAGCTCATAAGCGAGGTAGGCCATAGATAGAACTCAGGAGCTGTGTGCAGGGACCAAGATGGTGACAGCAGCCTCCATCCCTCAGCCCTCCAGGGCCAGCGAGGAAGAGCTGATAAAGAAGGCCATCTCCAGAGGAGCAACATCCTATGGCCAGCAGCCAGCCTGATAGGTCCCACATCAGGGAAGGGAGGTCCAGATCAGTCGGTACTGATGTCCCTTCCATGCCCTCTGCTGTCCTCCTGAGGCTTCCTTTGGCTGCAGCCAGCTAGAAGCCAGGAGACAGCTGGAAAATACCCACACAGTAAGTACTGGGGTTTTCTTGTGTGGTCAAATGAAGCCAACAGACCCCAGTGTGCTTATGCAGTATGGACGGTAGGGTGGTCCATAGACTCTTGTAGAAATAAAACAGTGAGCTGGAGAACCCATACTGTGGTCACTGAGTAGGCTTGGGAGCAATGCCCATCTTATCCATGGAAGCCTGTATCCAGCCAGGGACTTTTAAGTTGATAGCTAGCTAGATGCTGGGTTCATTGAGTTCATCAAGGCACCTTCTGGGACCACCCAGAACCTGTGGAAGCCCTGTTGCTCAGGTCCCCTGTTTCTCCTGCCACTTCTTGTTCTCTGTTCATTCTGGCCCTTGATTCTGCCTCTAGGAGCATGACAAAAGCTGCTGTGAAGAAGCTGTGTGACACACACACACATACAGAGCCTGTGAGGGCCCTGAAAGAAAGAGGCAGGCTACAGCAGCAAAAGTTGCAGACCTACCCTGCAGCATGGTTGTCAATGTGAGATTCAAGTGTCATTGGTCAAGCTGAGGTGGCACCAGATTGAAAGCTCACAGCATAGAGAGATGTAAAATGGCTTAGAGTCCTAAACGTAGCTTGGTTTAAAAAGAGGATTTGTTTGCCAGGGCCCTGAACTTCCTGTGACTAGTTGCTGTGAATGAGCCACTTGAGTAGCAGGCATGTGGAGAGTACAGGCTCCAGCCCAGCTGGTCTTTTGGCAAGCCCTAGGCAACACTCTATTGAGCCCGAGAAGGAAAGCCCCATCCTTTCAGGAGATACCCCTAGGGTCCCCTCTACAAGGGCTCATTAGAGGAGTGAGGCAGGGCCCACCCTGGCATTCATAGCCCCCAAGTCATCTCACTGAGCCAGCCAACGCTCAGTTTGCTCCATTGCTGCTTGTTAACTCAAGTGTTGGTGAACTATACTGACAAAGGTGACTGGTGACTCAGCTAAAATATGGTAGAGCTCATAAATCCTTCTTTACAGCCCAAACCAGGTGGCAGAGAAGGTGGCCTCCAGGATCGCTGAGGGCTTCAGTGACACTGCACTTATCATGGTGAGTCTCACTAATGGTGCTGTGTGAGCTTCCTTCCTGAGGCTATGCCAACTCCAGGCCTCAAGGGTTACATCACAGTAGTGGGCTGAGTACTCCTTTAGTCCCAGCACTGGGGTGGGGCTCTCAGCTCCAGCAGTCCTGGCCTGCTCCCCAACTTCACTGAACCCTAACCTTGGGGTGGCCCAGCAAAAACAAGGACTACTGTTAAAAGCCAGTATAGCCTAAGGGTGAGGGAATAGCCTACGTAGTCTTCAGTGTGAGGGGAGGGATCTGGTTTGAGCATTCTGCTATGCTTTTGTGGAAAGGTGGGGAAGGGCCTCATGCTCAGCCCAAGCAATACAGAGTTTCCTTGGTATGAGCCTATCTGTGCTGTTGGTGCTACTCACATGGGAGCCCAGGAAAGCACTGCTCTTCTCAGCATTGTCCTCATGCTTGTCACAACCCTCACCTTCTCTTCAGGTGGACAATGCCAAGTTCACGATGGACTGTGCAGCGCCTACAATCCATGTGTACGAGCACCATGAGAACAGGTGGCGAAGCAGAGACCCACACTAGTGAGTGCGGTGCCCTCCTGCAGGGCCTAGAATGTAGGGCTTGTGTGGAAGACAGGGTCTGGGTGGTACTTGTTGGTCTCCACCCATGGCACCACACGGATTCTTCAGCCATGTCCTTCTAGGTTCTTCGGCGCCCTGTTTGGAGGGGATCTGTCTATTCACAATGTCTTAGGTCCATCTCTGTGTTTCCCAGCAGCTGCTCTGTCTTTAGCAGCCTGTGTGGTCTTGGGTAGGCATGAGGCTGACTCTCCTGTTTGCCCTGCAGTGACTACTGTGAAGATTGGCCAGAGGCGCAGAGGATCTCAGCGTCACTCCTGGACAGCCGCTCCTACGAAACACTTGTGGATTTTGATAACCACCTGGATGACATTCGGAATGACTGGACAAACCCGGAGATCAACAAAGCAGTTCTGCACCTGTGCTAGACCAGGGCCACCACAACTAGAAACTCCACTACAGAAAAAAGAGAAACATATTTTTGAATTTAGAGGAATTTGAGTTAGCCTGATGGGAAGCTGCAAGTCTGTGATGTGTGCCTTGGAAGGGGAGTCCGGTCAGCATCCTTCAAGGCAGGGCTGTGGAGAGGTAAGGGCTGCCTAGGCTTTGGGTTCTTAGTCATGCACTGCCCAATGCTGCCTATCAAGCTCTTTCTGTTTGTTCCAGGTTATTCCCATTAAACAGTTCTAGTCTTTTATAATCTAGAGAGAATGCATTTCAGTCTTTACTCCAGTGTGTAAGTCTTTACTTTGACTGAGCCAATTCCAGGCACCCTAACATCAGGCAGCCTCTTGGACTGCTACTAGAGCATCGTCTGATCAACCAAGTTGGTATCGGGGCTAAGAGCTGTGGGCTCCCCAAGGCTGCACAAGGGAAAGAGCCAACACCGTTGCCTGAGAAAACCTCACTGCAATGAACACAAGCACATTGCTGATGAGAGCAGAGATTCCCATGAGGAGAGGAAGCCGAGCCGTGAACATTCCCAAAACCTGACTCAGCTGCTCTGGGTCTTCAGAAGGAGAGCTGCTTTATATTTAAAAGGAGCAAAAACCCCTTAGTGTCCAATGTCCCTGGGATATCCCAAGCAATGTGCTTGTTAGCTTGGATCATTTGACCAAGTGTTCTGACCATCTTAGGAAATAGTATGCAGATTTTTGGTACATTGTGTGTTATCCTTTGTGAATGTTTTGCACAGAAAACAGTGCCTTTCTTGGGCTTCATGAGGCTGGTGCCAAGGGTTGGTGACAGCATTCCCCCACTCTTTGAAAGTGGGTCAGCCAGGGTGACCTTAGTGAATGAACCCTGATGGGTGTGGCTTCTCCCCCTTATTCAAGAGCCTTGAATTTTGCTGCTGGGAAGAGTTTAGCTTTGGTTGGTTGGGAATATCCCATTGCTGTTCTGGTTAGCTTGGCATTGACTGTGTGTGTGTGAAGAAAGGAGCCTGGCCTTGAATGTGCAGTGATATCCCTCTGCCTTTGCTTCTCAAGTACTGAGATCACCACCCATCCCAAATCCCCTTAACCTTTTAAATTGACATTGTATCCAAACAAAGGAAGGTGTGAGGACCAGTCCCATCCTTCCTCACCCTCATTCCTTCAGGGCTTTGCAGGCTCATCTATATCAGAACAGTAATAGGCATATGTGTGGTCCAAATCCATCCCTATCCCCACCCCCCACCCCCAGTACTACCTTGTTTCTTTATCCATGGTTGGGTGGCAACTCACAGTTCTGTCCAAGTCAGGTATGATGGCCCATACCTGTGTCCTAGCACAGAAAGAAAAGGATCACAAGTTTGAGTACAATCCTTTGAGTTTCAGGCCAACTTAGACTAGAGTGACAACATGTTCTAAAAAGTCTGAATGCAGGAAGCAGGTCACCTACATTGTGTTTAGAGACAGCTCCTTAAAGCTATGCCTGGCAAGTGGTTCTTATGGGCTTCATTCACGGGAGCAGAATACAGGCTTCACCATCCAGCCTCGAGGGAACATTTTAACCTCTCCTACCCATCTGATCTAGTTAAGTTATTGTTGCTGTGATAAAGCACCAAAATAATTTGGGGAGGAAATGATTTATTTCACCATTAACTCTGAAGTCAAAAGAACAGGAACTGAAGTAGAGGCCATGGAGGAACTGCTTATAAGTCTTGCTCTCTGAGGTTTGTTCAGCCTGCTTAAGAACTGAGGACCATATGCCTAGGGATAAAACCATCCACAGTGGGCCCTCCTCCATCAATCACTAATCAAGAAAATGACTCACAGACTTGTCCACAATCTAATGGCAGCAATTCCTTAATGTTCCCTGTTCCCAGGTAACTAAACTAGTTTATGTCAAGTTGACAAAAATTGGCCTGCAATGTTTTAGTTGGGGTTCACTAAAGAAACAACCGAGGGAGTGTATATGTATGTATTTTTTTTAATAAAATATATATTTATGTAGAATGGAATTTATTAGAGTCACAGGTAATAGTCAAACTATTCCAACAATACCTGGCTCCCAATAGATAGTCCAAGAATTCAGTGTTCAGTCCACAAGATTGGATGTCTCAGCTAGTCTTGAGTGTATACACTGAAATCACAAAAAAAGTAGGCTCTAATGCCAGAGAAAGAATGAACTTGCCAATGAAGGTAAGGTAAGCTTAGTGGAAGCTTCCTTGTTCTTTCTATAGGCTTCACCAAAAGGTGTATCTTCCAGCTTTAAATGGTGAATAAAGAAAATTTCCTCACAGATGTATGCAACGGCTTGGGGTTTAATTAGTTCCAGATGTAATCAAGAATAGCAATCACAATCAGACAATTGACTCCTTGTCAGTTTGACACACACAGCACTATTTAAACCATAACTTTACTTTTCTTGTTTATTCCCAAGTTGCTTTGGGGCCACTTTTACTACAGCAATGGAGACTAAACTAGGGCACCATTAGAAAGTATACATATAGTAAAAACTTTATACAAAATTCTCTTAGACATTCCAGAAAACTAGAAAGGACTTAGAAGGTCTCACCATAAGGCAATGATAAAAAGATAAGTCTGTCTGACCCACTTCAAATGTGCAGTGTCTGAGTGTGTTGTAAGAGTTTGTTGTAAGCTTGTTGTAAGAGTTTGTATCGTTTTGCTTTTTTAATAAATTTTCCACTTAATTTTTATTTGTTGGGTTTTTTTTTTAATTTTGTTTTTTGTATTTGGTTTTTTGTTGTTGTTGTTGTTTTGTTTGTTTGTTTGTTTGTTTTTTGAGACAGAATTGATCTGGAACTTGCTGAGTAGACCAGGTTGGCTTCGTACTCAAAGATCCACCTGCCTCTGCCAAACAAACAAAAAGAATTAAGGATACTAAACCAATCGTGGTGCTTGTTTTTAATCCCAGCACTCTGGAGGCAGAGGCAAGCAGATGTCTGAGTTCAAGGCCAGCTTGAACTACATAGTTCTAGGACAGCCAGGGCTATGTAGAGAGACCCTGTCTCCAAAATAAAGTTAAGGATACTATGGATACTATCCAGGCATGGTGGCATACACCCATAATCCTAGCACTCAGGCTGAGAAAGAATTGCTACAAGTTGAGGCCAGCCCGGGCTATGTTGTGAGTTCCAGGACAACCTAAAGTTAGAATGAAGGATGCTCATATGGGAAAACAGTCAACAGCCTCATCAGAAATCCTTTGCTGCTTAGATAAAGCTGACTGCTAATTTAGGGGTGTCTGGGGTGTTTGCCTAAACTATGTGTGTCCAGTGCTCATGCAATAGAAAGCTTGGAAATCCTGGGGAAGATGGCTCAGCAGATAAATGCACCTTTCAAATCTGGTTCTATGTCTGAGACCCACATGTTAGAATTGCATAGGTTGTCCTCTGACCTCTACATGTGCACATAATTGATAAATAAATGTTATTTTTAAAGCCTTTGTGTAATTAACATTATTTATCCTAGGAGCTTATTTTTCTGATGTCTGGAGAAACTTTATTCAATATATTTTCCACTTCATACCTACTTCTATCGCTTGTCTTTCTGAAACCTACCTGTTTTGGGTGAGACCTATATCTCAGGTTTGGTAGAAAGTTCAGTAGAATGCTTCCCTGCCAGCTCACAGGTGAGAGCATAAAAGGGTGTGGGTGTTGCATGCATGGTGCTAGAGATTGAATCTGGGACCTCATACATGCTTGGTGAGCACCCTACCCTGTGAACTACATCCCCAGCCCTGTAAATATTTCATTCTCTTCAAATTGGCTTGCAACTTCATGTGTTCCTGTGATATCCTCAGTAGAACTCTATCATTCCTTCAAAGCTGTTCTTCAAACTTCCATCCCCAAAAGACTAACTGCCTGGAGAGCTGCTCCTTGCACGTTTCTGAAAGGCTGGAATCTGAAGTGCTAGCTCTGGAATCATCTAAGGCAGCTGTAGAATGGCCAAGGATTGCCTTCTCTGTTGCCTGTATTTTCCAAGCAGGCAGCACACCAGCACAACTAGGACCTGGATCTTACTGGAGATAAGCCTTGGCTCAAACTGTCATCTTGCAAAGTAGAATAGCATGCTGTGTTGACTGCTGGCTGAGAAAATTTCAGATACCATAAATCTAAAGAATTGTATTTCCAAATACTTGTGACATCCCCTGAACAAAGCCCCTACCCATCGGGACCAACCAGGAGTAGTGAGTGGGCAGTTGTCAGTGTTCAGCCTCTGAGGATCAACCATACCTCCAGGTTCTTGTCACCTACCCCTGGGAGGAAGCTGGGTATTTCTAAATTGAATGCATTCTTAGACACCCCCTGGGCTTCCAACAGGCCTTGCTTCTTAGAGTGGTTGTTACAGTTTTCCCGCCAACCGGGTCCCACAGCCATGTCAGCCCCAGATAACACACAGAGACACTGTATTAGATATAACTGTTGGCCTGTTACTAATGTTTCTTATTAGCTAGCTCTGACTTAAATATTAACCTATTTCTATTAATCTAAGTATTTTCAGGTGGTCTTATCTTACCGGAGAGAGGGCCGCAACCTCTGCTCTCTTCGTCCTACATTTTGAATCTCCTACCTCTTCCCAAATCCCCCTTCTCTCTTAGTCCCGCCTATCTTGCTTTCCCATTGCCCAACAAGGCTTTATTCATTAACCAGTAAGAGAAACATATTTACAGAATGACATTTCCCATCAGGTGGTGGCTTAGAGCCTGTTGTCAGCTGGTGCCAACAGCCCTACACCGTGCTGGATAGTCCAGGATGGGTTAGGTAAGTGCCATTTGCCATATTGTGGTTCTGTGGCCCTGAGCATGTTGCTGCCCACAACCCTCTGATAACAGGGCCATGCCGAGCAGAGAACATACTCACACTAGATATATTAGATGACATTGAGAAAGCTCTTAGCTGCTGGTTGTTTTAACATCTAGAATGTGTCGCTGGCCGTATGCATCCAAGGGTACCACCTGGCTATAGACAACAATCAGTATTGGGAGGATACGTGAATAAAATATTCAAAAGATGGCGCAGTTTCCACCTCACCCCACTGTTTCTATCAGCTGCCCCTTCACCTAGTGTTGGTGTCGCCTCCTTTTACAGATGGAGTCACCAAAGCCTGCCCAGCCTGAAGAAGTGACTTCTTAGTGTCACACAACAGGAAGTAATGGAGGAGAGGGTTTGAGCTGGCCATACCTCTACTGGAGACAATAGCTCAGTGTTATGTGGCATGAGTGAGATCCAGATTTGGCACCCTGTACTGCAGAAAACCCTCTCTCTGCACGCACTCAGTGCCCTTCAGCTCCAGCCCAGTCCAAGTACTCTTCTTTTTATTGTTGTTTGTGTATGTGTGTACCTGCACGAGCATTCAGCCATCCCCTTCACTAATGACTTAAGAGTGGTCAGAGCTGTAGCAGCAGCGTTGCCAAGCAGAGGTGGATAGCAAGGTGCCTGTGTTTGGGCCCATGCAGTGAAGAATGGAAGGCATAGTATTGGGTAGTAGTCTCAAACTCTAGCCCAGAGGATTCAGACCCAAGGAGGTTGGGACCAAAGCCAGTGTTTTCGGCAGACAAGTGTGGTGCATACTTATTAATCCTGGCACTGAGGAGGTTGAGGCGGAAGGATTCAGAGGTCAAGGCCAGCCTGAGCTACTGAAAAATTCAGGAAGCAGCACACTGTGAGAAGACACTTATAATAGTTCACCTAACAACCATGCTTGCTGGTACATGCCTGTGATCCCAGCACTTGTGAGGCTGAGGCAGGAGGATAGTTGTGAATTCAAGGCTAGGAGCTACAGTATGAAATACTACCTAAAAACAACCAGGGAACTGGAGAGATGGCTCAGCCCTTAAGAGCACCTTTGCTCTTGCAGAGAACCTGGGTTCAATTTCCAGGACCCACATGGAGGCTCATGACTAATTGTAACTCCAGTTCTTTTACGATCTCTTTCCTGGCACCAGGCATGTGCATAATGCGGAAAAACAAATGCAGGCAAAACACCTGCTCTGCTTTGAATAAGAATGGTCCCCATAGGTTCACGTTTTAATTCTTGGTACCCAGTTGGTGGAACTGTTAGGGAAGAATTAGGAGGTATGGCCTTGTTGGAGGATGCGTGTTACTGGGGGCAGGGGTGGGCTTTGAGATTTCAAAGCCCACACTATTCCCAGGGAGCTCTCTCTGCCTCATGCTTGTGGATACGGATACAAGCTCACAGCTATTGCTCCAGCACTATGCCTGCCTGCCTGCCTGCCACCATGAAGGTCGACTACTCCAACCCTTTGGAACCATGAGCTCCAAATTAAATGCTTTTATAATTAACTTTGGCTATGATGTTTTGTCATGGCAATAGAAAAAATAACTAAGACACAAGCCAAACTATGGTGACTCACACCTTTAATCTCAACACTCGGAAGGCAGAGACAGGTGGATGGATCTCTGTGAGTTCGAGGCCATCCTGGTCTACAGAGGAGTTCTAGGACAGCCAGAAAAAAAAAAAAAAAAAAAAGCCTGTCTGAAAACAAAACAAACAACAAAACTAAGACATTATCCATACATGTAAAATAGAAATGGAAATAAAACACATTTCCAAAAAAACAACTAGAGAAATGGCTCAGAGGTTAAGAGCACTGCCTGCTCTTCCAAAGGTCCTGAGTTCAATTCCCAGCAACCATATGATGGCTCACAAACATCTGTAATGAGATCTGGTGCCCTCTTCTGGCCTGCAGGCATACATGCAGGCAGAATAGTGTATACATAATACATCTTTAAAAAGGCATTTACCCAGTGTACTACTCATCTACACATATAACAAGTACTGAGACATGACGCTCTAGCCCAGTGGTTCTCAGCATCCTAATGCTGCGACCCTTAATACAGTTCCTCATGCTATGGTGACCCCCAACCATACAATTATTTTCATTGCTACTTCACAACTGTAATTTTGCTACTGTTATGATTGTAATGTAAATATCTGTTTTCTGGTGGTCTTAGATGATCCCTGTGAAAGGGTCACTCAACCCCCCCCAGGGGTTACAACCCACAGGTTGAGAACCACTGCATCAGGTTTTGGTTTTTTGTTTGTTTGTTGTTTGTTTGTTTTGTTTTTCTAAAGGTCCACAGATGTGTGTTATTGGTGTCCCCAAGCAGGAACAAGTGAAAGATGAGAGGTAATTCCTTAACAGGCAATGACCTACATATGCAGTCTCAGCACCTGGACCACGGGCCACATCAGACCAACACTCAACCAGCTGTCCTATGTCAGAGATGGAGGGTCTTGGACATGTGTCCTCCACACCAACCTCTGGATGGAGAATGGGGTTCTTGGTTTGAGAATTACAACTGAGGGTTCTCCAGTGCTGACACAGCTCTCCTGAAGGCCCCTAAAGTCCCACATTTGCCGTGAGCATCTAACACCTGCCCCACCTTGTCTCTCCCAGAGCCCAGACCAAACCCTGCAGTGTCTCCTGCTCTTGGGGTTGGCACCATCCTCTGCAGGGCTCAGAGCCACTTGTATGCCTGCTGGAGAACTTCTGCTTTTGTATGCCTGCTGGAGAACTTCTGCTTTTGTATGCCTGCTGGAGAACTTCTGCCCAGGGTTGCAGAAAGGTCTGTTCTGCAGGCGTTTTCAAAGCAGCAGCCCAGGGCCCTATGCCTTGATCTGTCTGATCATCTATATTAAGAGAGTGACAGTCACAGTGTGCTGTCAGCCTGAGCTGACACACCTGCTGCTACAGGCCCACTGGTGTTTTCATATGACCAACAGGCCAGGCTGCTGGCCCAGGAAGTGGAGAAAGGGCAGTGTGCATTTTAGGGCACCTGAGGAGTGAATGGGTGGGGAAGTTCAGAACTCTGAGGAAGTTCAGGTCAAGAGCATCCCCACACAGCTGCTTCCAGAGAACCTCACCCCATTCCAGCATCCCCTGTTGAAGCTGTCCAGGAGATCTGCTGATGGCCAGGAGCCATGCTGATGCCTGCCTTGGCCCTGGTCCAGGTGCACCAAGCTGGACTTTCAGACCTTCCTTTTACAGTGTCTGATCTGGACTAACATTCTCCAGTGTTTTCGTTTTCATGATAGGATTTGAACCCAGGACTTTGTACATGCCAGGCAAGACTCACTGAGCTGCGTCTCCACTCTGTTTTGTCACCACAGCCTTCCTGGGCTCACCATTTGAGAAAACAGAGGGCACAAGGAAGAGTGAATGGGGACCCTTACAGAAGTGTGAAGAACTCTATGTAGATAGACAAGCTGGAGGTAACTATGAGGGTGATACCCAGGAGGCGCAGAGCAGAGCAAAGAGGAGTCTGGGTGGAGTTTCCACCTGTCCACCCCAGGCCACAGGGAATGCCCATCTTTTAGAGTGTGATGAGAAGAGTTGAGAGGCAGCTAGAAGCCCTTCCTGCCTTAGGCTTCCACCTCCTTCCCCTGAGACCGTTACTGGAAGGTAGACAGAGCT